CCATTATTTTGTTTGTAAAATTTGACTTAGTCTAAGTTAGTATTGTACATTTAAAATACATTAACATCCATTCAGACGTTTAGGCTACAAACCCTAACAAACATGCATCCATCTAAATTTTCGCATTTATAATATTAGTAAGATTAAAAACTTACCTATAGAATGAAATAAATTATTTAAACTTAAAATTGACTAATATTTAACTAATAACATCATTAAATTTCTTATCTCCGTACACGTCAAACATATATTATCACGTATTTGTTAAAATTAAACCCAACTTTGTCAAGGCTAAGACTCTGTTCAATGAACTTCGATAACTATTGCCTCTTTAGATTACCACTTAACAAAGTTATACTACTCAATGTCAACGACTTTGTTCGTGTGTGATAGAAACGTGGGTAGTTAAAGAACTAATATTTTTTTCATTTACAATGAAATATCGACAACAAATTGTAATTTGGGTAGTAGGGTAGTAACAATTACAAAATTTGTGCGAATGCAACCTACCGCACACATTTTGTAGTTGATAATCTTTATTTTAGGTTACCTTTTGTAACATTCGTGCAATAAGTGTTAAATAAATAAATAAACAGTGATTAAATTATTTAGGCCGTTAAGGGTGAGTTGCACCATATCGCCGGTTACCGTTAAAGTTAAAATTATTTGAAATGGTAATATTTGGAATAATCTTAAAATTTACTAAGGATGAGTTACATTAACTAACTATAAACCTTAACCAGCACATTCCCGATGGTTACGTCTTCGGATGTTCATGATATTCGCTACACCAGTTTTGCGCTGGTCAAAATGACGTCATATTTGACACTAATCATAACCGCCCGATTTTGGGCGGTTATAGTTAGCGTTACGGTTAGTGTCAGATCGGTAGTGTCAACTGTCACAAGCTCTTATCTTCAAAAGCACAAATAATGGAAAAAGTAATGGAAAAAGAAAATATCTACTATTATCCTATACGTAATCCAGAAGAATAAAGTCTTGCGTGCTCGGAAATAATGGATTTCCAAGATGGAACTCGAAATTTGGCCAAACATTCAGTTTGGACAAATTTCGAGTGTCTAAGGCCATAGCAACAGCGCTTGTCCCTTTTCTCTTATTTAAAAAAATGTCCTCTATAAAAGGTCAATTTATAATATGCATTGACAGGACAATTTATAATATGGAAAATAAATAAGATGCATTTATATTTGTATAATTTTATTGCTTCATTTTTGCTACATATTTGAGTAGTAAAGTAAATACAGTTTCAATAATGGCCCAAACTAGTTTATTTTCACAAGAGTTTGCCATTTTCTCCATCTTCGTGGGCAAAAAGTTTATTTCACTATAAAATACCATGCGTATGATACATAAATATAATCGGCGAAACATGAATTTCCAAACATTTTAATTTACGTAAATGTCATTCTTGACATCAACTTGACACTTTAGTGACATTCAGGTTTAAATGTTTCCATTGTAAAAACGAAAAACACATAAAACCTCTGTGAGAATATGTTTTTGCACTTGTAACCCTATTATAACTTTTACGATAACCAGCGATTTGATGCAACTCACCCTAAGTGTCTATCATAGACATTCAATATGTAACACCGACATGGAATTAAAAATACTGTAAGAAAATGCATTTGATTTACATTATTTGACCGACTTCCCAAAAGAAGGAGATACTCAATGCCTGCATGTTTTTTTTTAATACATTGTAGTCGTTATGAAGTGTTTTATAATATTTGCAGTCACACAGATTGATTTGACCATTGGTTTAAATTTAATTCTTGGTTCATTTTTAATGGGAAAAGAAAGTAAGTACTGTACTCAGAAATTATTTAAAACACTAACAGCCTTACAAATAAACGCGGCATAAAGTTAAACTTAAGAAGAAACTGAGTATAAGCAACATTTTTACTAATATTTGCTTATACTCAATTAATTACTAAGTTTAACTTTATACCGCGTTTATTTGTAAGGCTGTTAATTTATTTCAAACTAGCTGTTCCCATGCGACTTTATCCGCTTAAAATTATAAATATATCATTTTATTGATTAAATTTGTCAAATTATCAATTGCAAATGTCAAAATGCCATGACATGATGTCATACCATGGCAACCTTGATGTTGGCAACAACTTATGGTCTCTTTCCCACATGGTTTTTAGACAAAATATTTGCAAATAAAAACGGACAAAATGGAAATGGCATATTAACATATAATGATCATTCTACAAGGAAAAAATCAAGTAATCTGTGAAATCATTCTGTCATTAGATTTTGAAATCTTGCATTACAATTTATAATTGTTTTAATGATTCTGAACTAATTTAATTTATACCACATCTAGTTCTTAATAACTTCACCAACGCCGCTTAAGGTAACAAACAATTAATTGCGTGTTTTACTGCACTTGATTAGTATGCTTTAAGTTATTTTTTTATTTTTCAAGTTAATCCTGCGCATATTCAGAATTATTACTAAATAGCTTTGTTATTTATTTATGACAAATATTTACCTTAACATAACTGTGTTTTAAGAAAGACATAAATAACAACTGGTAAACAATTCATAATATTATAATAAACAAAAGTGAAAATCAATAATTTTTTGTGATAATATTACAATATATTATTTCGATTTTGATTGCTTTTCATCTTCATTCAATTATAAGAACTTAAGACCATAGATAAAATAAAAGCCTCATCAGAACTTTCAATAAGCTACTAATTTTTTTTGTTTACGACTGTATATTAACAAGGCGGTTGATTAAAAATGTAGTTAACGAAGTACAAGATTAGGTCGTAAAATAATAAGGTAAACTTTTTCGAAGGTTCTACGAAGCTCTTTGGCTTGCGTTACTAAGTAATCTTTAACTCTCGTATGTTAAATATTTAGTAAGATATTAGAAATCTATATTTTCTTATGTTTTCTTCTTCTCTTGTCTGTACTATTATAATAAAGCATAAACATACACTTCTTTGTTGCCCAAGATCTCAGCAATTACAGCATATTTTTGAATAATTCTTTTTTTAATAAAAAGCCCTACACTTACGTCAGGCTTTATGCTATATATTTAACGCCATTAAACTTAGTGGGTAAATAAATTGAATAAAAACCCTAATGTGGAAAGGGATTATAGGCTATAAGCTGCCAACATAAAAGAAGTAAGATTACCACGGTTTGCCATCAAGATATTTTGACATTTGCAATTCCTAATTTGACAAATGTAAACAATAAAATAAAACGTTAAGTCATACGGATAAAGCCGCACGGGAACAGCTAGTAATGTAATAAAGTGTAAACACACACTATTTCGTGGCGTAGGATATCAAACACAGCATGATTTGAATAATCCTATCTTTAATAAAAAGCCCTACACTTACGACACGCTTTAGGCTATATATTTTCACCCTATTAAACTTAGGGGGTAAATGAATTGGAAAAAACCTTCATGTGGGAGAGGAACCATAAACTACAAGCTGCCAACATTTAGGAAGCAATGTTATTATGGTAACGGCAATTTTGACATATAACCAATGTAAACAATAAAATAATGTTTTTAATTCTATGCGAATGAAGCCACATGGAAACAACTAGTTTAAGATACATGGAGTAATACATCATCAGTACCGAAAACCTTGTAACTTATATTAGTCACTTAATGTCGGACATGGCTCTAAAGTATTGATTGAACCTCTGAGATTTTTACTCTTTTGCGTTGACTACAACTATTTTATCATCCCTTAATTAGTCGTAAGGAGATGAGGAAATACAAGAAAAAACAAACATCTCAGCAAACCAATGATTGCTAATGAAAATAAAATTATAGGAACTTGCATTCACAACTATATGTTTAGCCCCAGTGGTAGAGAAAGTAAGGAGTAAAAGGTTAGCATGGTATGGGCATGTTATTAGGAGAGATGAATCGCATGTTACAAAGATAACGTTAGTTATGAGTGTGGAAGGGTACATCGGTAGAGGTAGACCTAGAAAGTGATGGATGGATTGCATAAAAGGTGACATCATCAAAAAAAGACTGATGACTGAGATGACGTATGATAGAGTTATTCGAAGGACAAAAACCTGTTGCGCCGACCCTACGGGAGTAGGATAAATAGGATGATTATGATGATGATGATGATGATGATGATACACAACTACATATATGTATGAACTTCTATATCTATATTTCTATTCTAATATTATAACGAGGAAAGATTTGTATTATTGTATGTATTGAAATTGAAAATTACTTGAGCAATGTCAAAAAAATCTTTCACAATAAATGGCTACGTCACCGAGTATCATAAGTCTTTACAATTTTTATTACCGCGTGGACGAAGACGCAAGCAACGGCTAGTATAAAGTGATACTGCAATGTATTTTCGTACTCGCTTTTTTACAGTTCATATGATAAAGCCCTTTTTCGTATCCTTTTCTATACAATTTGTTAGTCAAGTTCGTAGTTGACACATTGTTTTATTCTATTCTATTTCTTGTTTATGGCTCTGCCACAGCGGATTGGGCCAGTGTCAAGTAAACATTGTTTTTAGATCGAAACAATTAAATTGCATGTTACCATATTTTTATCACACATTCAAATCATGAACATTCGTAGAGCGATAACTTTTATTCTATAAAACAATTTTAAAGCCACATCGTATGTTCAAGTTATCAGTTATTTTTATCTGTTGTTTACAAACATTTTTTGCCAGTATTAATAATTATTGAATAAGAAAAGCTACGTACTAATAAACGAACTAATACAGCATTGTTAAATAGTCGCTAAGTGTACCCTTCAGTAATGTTTTAGTACGGAAAATCTATACCAGTAAGACCTTAAGGACGTACAGAATTAGTAATTTTGTTATTGCAAATATTTTTTCTGGACTGGTATTAGGTCAGAAATTGTCATTAAGACATCTAACAAAATTATTTTGTACATGTTTCGTAAATGGAAACGGTAAATGTGACATGTTTTGTTACAGTATTGGTACTCCTGTCTGCCACGTTCGCGCTGAGTCTCATCGGTACAATATTCTTTTGCTTCACGAATACAATCAATGACGCTATATTATCTGTAAGTATTTTAGTATAAAAAAAATTAAAAAATAACTTAAGATCTTTACAATAAATCAAGTAAAAAATATTATAGAAGATTTATGTTAAAATAGTAGGTTATTTCTTTCTTTATCTATCACACTTTTCAGTTTTTCATAATTATTATTTTTTTAAAACTTACTACTTGCTTCTTACTATCTTACTTCCGTACTTTACTAATGGATGGATGATTGTAAGAGTTTATGGTTCAAACTAATTAACGGATCTCGATGAAATTTGGCATTGATGGAGTGGATACTCTGGAAGAATACATAGGCTACCTACTTTTGTTTTTTTTTTAATTACACGCGGTCAGAACGCGAGCGAAAGTTATTATCTAATAATGTATTTCACCTGAATCACACCAGATTGCTAATTTGATCCTTATTCCTCAGAACATGGTGATAAGGAACAACAGCGTCGCATATGACATGTGGCGACGACCTTCCGTACAGCCCTTGATGAAGGTCTACCTCTTTAACTACACCAATTGGGAAGATGTCAAAGAAAGGAGAGCGAAACGACTGCATGTGGAGGAAGTCGGCCCTTATGTGTACTCGTAAGTGTGTATTATAGAGAGGAAAGATTTGTATTTTTGTATATATTGAAATAACTTGAAAAATACTGGGCCAATTTCAAATTGTTTATCACCATTAGAAAGCTACGTTATCGCTGATTAACATAAGCTATTTTACTATTTATTTTTTCATTCCAAGTGGACGAAGTCGCGAGCAACAGCTAGTTATTTATAATTGTAAATTTGTGTCCGTATACCAAGAGACCTTAACCTACCCTGTGCTGAAGATTTTGGATTGGTCGATTGCATATATTAGTTACCTTTGAATTTCTTCTCACATAATAAATATGTATTAAATATTTACGTACTATTTATTGTAAAGGCAACACTGTTTTATGATATGTTAACCTGTTTTTGATAATACGTTTTATCATGTTATGAATATTCTCCGCAAATTGCTGTATTTTAGCATTTTTATCAACAACCTTATTGATAACAAGAAATACGCAATTTAACCCTCAGTTCTTTTAAATGAGTTTTATGTTTATTTAAGTAATTGAAATCACCAATGAAAAAAACAATTAATTATCGATGTATCAAGTCACAAAAGTCAATGAAAGAATAATAAAAATCGCGGTATCGGAACATTAAAAAAACAATTATTTAAAATCAGACTAATATTGGTTCCTTGCCAAATCTATATTTTGCCTAAAACTCTAAAGACTAAAAAAAGAAAAAGAAAACTCTAAAGACTACTAATCTATGACACCTTAAACATCTGTCAAACTGTGCCACGGCAGTTAATATGTTACGTTACGGGAGGCTGCAATGGGAACATATATAGGGGTTGTGCCATAATCGCCACGCTTGATATTCGGGTTGGTGATCCCAATATTTCCACCACAGCCATAGAAAGCTGCTTCTTATATAAACATCGACAAAGACGAGACTATCTCGCTAACTTCAATCAACGATAGTATGACGATAGTTTGCGTCGATATTTATTGCAGTCGTAATCTATGTAATTTTGGTTAGTTTCATAACAACAAGAGAACCGATATTACTTTCTTATCTACGAGTATTTTATTAGAATCGCCACCGCATACCTACTTATAATTTAGCACCACGCGTAGGCACCCAAGGGCACGTTTATATGTGAAAGTATAGAGAAGTAAATTAAAAAAAGAGATAAACTGGTAGTAATTGTTTCAGAACTAGCTAACGCCCTGGTTGATATTTTTAAGACATCCAGAAGGTGCCCCAGTGGAATATAATTTTACGTAATCTTTTGATATTCGCTTAGAAAGTAAACTCTTTAATGTTAATTCGGCCTCTAACTCGGAGTTTCATAACAGCCACGAATGAATAAACAAATGACATATAATGTATATTAGACAATAGTATAAATACAAATAAGTGGGCAAAGAGCGATCATGATAACCTTCTTGCTTTCCTCTCTACGTATGAATTGGATATTATTATAGATGTTCTCCTTTCGCATGACATAATAGATACAAAGTCCAGAAAACTAAAAATACAAAACCAATCACTGGACGAACATTAGAAATTTACTAGTTTTTTTTTTAAAAGAGATTAAAAAGAACTAGTAAGTATCCTTTACTCCGTACCTAGAAAAAAGGTCTTACAAATATACATTATATCTCATCGCTTTGTCATCTCATTTAAGGTGGAATTTCATTGTTTTATTCGATGTGGAATTTGAGTACCACAATAATTGTTTTGCGCGCTAAATGAAGCCAACCGATCATTCATGCTTTATTTTAATTTAAATGAAAGCTACCCAGACAGACAAAAATTGTACAATACGGACCTACTTGTCTGATTTTCATTAAAAATTGGACTATATTTTGGTATGCATTAACTTTGGAATAAAAAAAGTATTTTGACTGCTACTTCCCTTACTAATTAGTGAGGCCAATGGGCCTGAACCCCCTTCCCGTTTGTCATCAGCTGGTGACGTCCATGATTGAATACTTACAAATATATTCAAGTGGGCTGGTAGGCTAGTATTATTGGAGTAAGTCCGTTTAAAATAATTGCTCGTGAGGACTGACCTTGTGTTACTTGTATTTTGCGATTATAACATTAATTGGTAGTCGAAGGGAATATCCATATTTGTACTGCATTTAGATTCACACTCGTGTTGTCCATTACGTGTCAATATATTCCGTATAAGTCTAATAAAAAAGTCGTAAATATTTTTTACTTTAAAGCCTTGATCTAATACTCATATAAGCAGAGTGTTACATTCTGAATTCAACGTTTTAAATATCACTTCTAGTAATATAAATACAAACTGACTATTTAAAAACCGAAAAAAAATAATATCGAATGAAATTCTATGCATAGTTTTATAACCTATATCAGGAGAACAAAAGTGAGGCAAACGGTCTCCGAAAGTTGTTTGTTGGGATAAATTCCCTCAGTTTACAAAACAAGATGATATTTCGAAAATCGACTATATATGACATTAAATTTGCAACACACTCCATCTTTGCCAAAATGCATCATTTAAATAAGAAACCCATACTTTATTACCCCGATAACTATGATTGAAACGCCCTTACACGTCAATATTAATCAACTCTTTCAGGCTACAAGAGATCACAGATGAACGATTACAAACACAAAGCTCGACGAATGTTACAACGTATTTTGTATGTGTGAATGGTTTAACGGAGTAGTGGTGGAGTGTATAAATTGTAGTTAAACTTTACCAATGTTTCTATTCGCAGGCAACAGTTGGAGCGTGTTAAAATAAAATTTGACAAGGACAAGCTAAGCTACAACGAGAGGAATGACTTCAGGTTCTTGCCTGATGAGTCCAAAGGCGCTCACTTCGACCAGGTCAATGTGCCCAATCTACCACTTCTTGTAAGTATTCCTTAACAGTATTTTAACATTTCTTAAGATTGCTTTGTGATGATTGACTGTCAGCGAATTTTTAAATTTATAGTTCAATTGACATAAAGTTTTACTTAAAACAGTCGAACTGTTCAGATAGAACTGGGCGTCCGTACCATGTATTTATTATATATTCACTAGCTTTCGCCTGCGACTATGTCCGCGTGGAATTAAAAAAAAAACAAAACGAAGTAGCCTGTGTGTTCTTCCAGACTATACTCTACATCCTTAACAAATTTCATCGGAATCGGTTGAGCCGTTTAGGCAACAAACTCTAACAAACATCCATCCATCCATCCATCCATCCAAACTTTCGTAATTATAATATTAGTATGATTGTTGCGAATAATAATAAAATTATTCTTATTCACAGGGCGTTATTTCGAAAGCAAAGGATATGGAGATAAATCCTTTTGTCCAAATGACTCTCAACACCGCACTCAATTTCGGCAATCATCCTGATGCTTTCGTCAAATTGCCTGTACACAGGTAAGGATAGTTTGCCTTTTAATTTTTTATAACAAAAGGTGGTAAATGAACAAATAGATACCTTGTTTCGCTAATATAGCGAAGTTACTGCTGACTTTAGACCTTTAAAACTTTAATGGACAAATGTTACTGCAAAAACTTTTCTGCAGGCGCTAAAAAATCTCTGTAGGCGCGTTCGTGGTATAAATAAAAAGGAGGGTACAGAGTTTAAAAGTGATATGAATGCTAGTAACCCAATCTTTTATAAACAAAAGTGTTTCCTTGACTGTGACTAATCACTTTAAAACATTTACTAATTGATGGGTGTAGCGTTCGTAATCAACGCGTGCACACATCGCCGGCCTCAATATGTCACTTCGATGCTACAAATCATTGTTTGCGTCTTTAATTTACGATGAGATAAAGTCGCATCTTACTATAGATGAATTGAATGTTTGTTAGGCTTTGTAGCCTAAACAGCTTTAACGGGTTTCAATGAAATTTGGCATAGATTTAAAGGATTATCCGAAAGAACACATAGGCTCATTTTTTTGTTTTTTAATTCTTCGCGGACGGATTTGCGGGCGAAAGCTAGTTGTAAAATAAGTGACTGTTTCAATCTAGCGATACTTCTCAGGTTTCTATGGGGCTATGATGACACCATAATCGATACAGCGAAACCTATCTTGAGCCTGCAAGGGAAGTTAAACTTTAAGAAGTTTGGACTCTTAGTTACTGTAAGTGTTTATCTTTTTAGTTTTATTTAATTGTACAAAATGCTGTCATCCCTTTTATTCGCCTTGAAAAGAATAGAGATAGTGCTATGTTTATGTGCTGGAGCAGAGTAAAATCACAGTGTTACAATACTTGCAGAAAAACGGCACCGTTTCCGAACGTCTCACAATAAACACGGGTGAAATTGACAAGGACAAGATGAATATAATTCAGGAGTTAGATGGAAAAGAGTATTTACCTTACTGGTCGAGCCGTGAATGTAACAGGTATTACACTATTTTTTTTTTTAGAATTACACAAAAATAACAATTGACAAAAGTTAAGTGAGTTCTGATATCTGGAACAATATATGAATTGAGAAAGTGTTGCCAACGTTTAGCCATCACAGATGTTATAATTTAACAAACGCCTATAACTTGATAATACTTTGTAAAAGTACCTACATCTTACTTTAATATAAATGTGAAAGTTTAGATGAATGGATGGATGTTTGTTAGTGTTTGCCGCCTAAACGGCTGAACATATTTTAACGAAATCTGGCATAAATGTATGTCTTGAAAACACACACAAGCCACTTATTTAGTTTTTTATTTCACGCGGACAAAAGCTAGTCGATTATACATTCTAGTGGTAATTTTGACATGATTGTGTTAAGTAGAAAAGAGAGAATGTCCTACGAGGATTGAGGTTAGAAAATATTTTTTAATATACTTCCTAACAAAAATGTAAGTAATTATTCTATTATAAATACATTCGCAGGGACATTGGTAGAGGGCTCTACGCGTTTAATTGAAGTTAGATGAATGGATTCCAACAATGTTTCGTTCAAAGTAAACATATTATAAACGCCATTGAGCGTGTTAACTCAATGAGACTATTTACGATTATTTTAACTATGTATCTATAGTTCGTTAGGTTATCTTGGTTACATGCGACGTCTCTTGATGTCACATTAACAGACTATCATTAAAGTCTGTAAAAATATTAACATATTTTATTATAGTTAGTGTGAGTAGACTGCTGAGTAGTTTAAAGTTTACTAAGGGATTCACTTAGTATAGATTAAACAAATGAAATCTATTAGTTTACTAGGAATAGTTCAAAATGGTGAATATTAGTACAATCCTTTTTACATGCAACTTTTTGTGTTTATATTTGTAGAAAAATATATACCTATCTCAATTTTCATATCGCAATAAGAGGGACAGCAAGACGCCTAATATTTCTGCCAAAAAAACATCTGCCTCTTTTCCTAGCTATTGATAATTTATCGAAAAGTCGTATGATCGATGTTGTTCAAACGATTGCTTATAATTACATACTAGTGTTATCAACAGCACGTGTAGAGAATAAAGTTTTGTCCTAGTCACGCGTGTCGATAAACTTCCTATAAAGCAATAAACGTTTAAGTAATTCAAAGATAGAGGATTACCTATTTCTTTTTTTGGGAATCAATAATCGCAAAAGTTTTTTTTATATAACATAAGGTGGCAAACGAGCAAGCGGCCACCTGAATCCGCCAAAATGGCGAAGCGACCGCTGCCCATAGACATCCGCAATTGCAGATGCGTTGCCTACCCTTATCCGACGGAGGAGGAGACGCACATAAAAAGGATATTTCCCCATCCTATGCATATCCTCCACCGTCAAATCCACTTCCTCTTACCATCCTCTTCTTGTGAGAAAAGGGTGGTAAACAGAAAGGGACTAAAATTAAGCCTCCGGCACCACACTCATCAGACGAAACTCGGAATTGCTTCCATTTGACGCCTGTCTTCTGTGTGGTCGTGGTATTACACCGGGCGTGCCGGCCTATTCGTGCTAAGGTGTTAAAGCGGGCACTACCATTGTTATAAGTTAGTAGTTGTGCTAACTAACCTCAAGGGTTCTATGGATATCACCTGATCAACATAGGGTATTCGATGGCAAGAAATAAAATTAAGGATTTACATGTTAAATAAGTGTAGTGACGAGACAAAGTATATATATAAAAATATAAAAAAACAGCATAAAACTCTTTTAAAGACGGCAAAGTATCTGTGATTTCTCTGGTATTGTGGAAATCTATGGGCGTCGGAACAAGTAATATTAGGCAATCTAATGCACATTAGCTCCCTTCTCCTATAAAAAAAAACTTGGTGAAACTTATTTTATTTTTCAGTATAGAAGCATCCGATGGAACAATCTTCCCACCATCGATGCTGGATCGCAACAAGACTCTGTACGTCTTGTACACCAATCTCTGCAGACGTCTGCCTTTTGTGTACGAAAAGGACGTTGAGGTAGAACAGCTAAAATTTTTTTTTATAAAGCTTAATTAAAACAGGTAAAGATAAAATATAGTTTTTGTTAGTTATAAGTTAAAGTAAATCTCTATTGCCGAAAATTTTATCCTAAAACTATCCATTATTATGAGCACTATACAATGCTTCAAACTCCGAAACCGATGATAGAAAAATATGCCGCATGGATATAACAAAAGATAAACGCCAACAGATAAAAAAACTATGGGACGAACAGGAAATGTCAAATAAAACTATTCTTAGAGCACTTTATCAGTGCTCTAAGCTTTAAGCCAGTTGTTTTAGTCGTTCAGTTACATTGTTGCACTAATGGTAAAAAACAGAAATTCCTAGACTAGCAAAGAATTTTTATTACTGCCACTATACATATTTGTTTACAAAGTGTTAGCAAATTAACAAATAGGACCAAGGGCGTCGCCACTGATGAGAGGCTAGATCTAGGTGGAGCTAGTAATAAAAATTCTTTTTTTTATTTCAAAGGAAATTCTTATCAACATGTACAACCAAAAATGTATTGATAACCTGCCAGTTCGAAGTAGTTTATACTATTATTGGCAACGTGCTTGGCTGGGATATACCAATTGCGAAGTACCAATTTAATCAGACTAATCCAGCGCGTTAACATTTCCCCTTTTCCTTTTAATAACACGATTAATTTAGAAACCTAGCTGAACATTTATCTTACTATACGATAGACCTATTATACAACAGAATACAATCGAATAGCACATATAAAACTGAAGCAAGTTGAGGTGCTAAATAACAATAGGCAAATTTATAAAATTACTTCTTGTCAAGGCAAAATGTTTTAAACAGCACGTGCGTTCAGTAAGAGGAAGTTGATAGCTAACCGATTACAGCACGTTATGTCCGCTTTCGCTCAGTTTATAATCTGTTACAGATAGCGGACGGAGTCCAGCTGATGCGGTACCGGATGCCGTTGGACGTGTTCGACGACCCGGCGCACAACTCTGCCAACCAATGCTTCTGCGAGCTAGACACCGGCGTGTGCCCACCCCGCGGCATTATCAACGTCACTGCTTGCGCTATGGGTAAATATAAGATTCAAGATTTGTAGCAATACTTTGTTAGAGACCGCATGTCTTGTAGGTGTGTCCACTGCTCGTAGATGAAAGTGTAAGCACAATTGTTGCCCGAAATTATACCATCGATAATTTGTACTCTATCGTAGCATCTTGTACCAAATTGTGATCCAGAAACAAAAGCTTGGATATCGTATATGTTCTCGACTGCACATACACTATTTCCTTGCCTGATTAACATATATACACGTAGGGACTAACAGCATCAAGCGACCCTCGGCTGTATTTTTACTGAGTATTGCAGTCTACAGCTAACGTCAATTTTGCACTTCCTAAGCGTATGTTCCAAATGTTTCACAGGTGCACCAGCTCTCGCTTCCTTTCCTCACTTCTACCTGGGTGACCCAATGCTAAGAGAACAAGTGACCGGCCTCAAGCCAAACCCAGAACTCCACAAATCGTACCTGGATATACATCCGACACTCGGCATCGCGCTAAACGGCAAATCAACGTATGTAGCTTCTTTAATTAATTAATATCTTTCGCCCGCAGCTCCGCCCGCGTTGTGTTAAAAAAAAACCAAAGCAAGTAGCCTATGTGCTCTTCCAGACTATGTCATGTACATCTATGCCAAATTTCATCGAGATCCGTTCAACAGTTTTTGTTAAAAACTCTAACAAACATCCATCCATCCATCTAGGCTTTTGCATTTACGATATTAAGTATGAGTTGATTCATTATCCATTGAATCTCTGGATAGCCCGCCGGGACAAAAACACCTGTTCCGTATAGCAAGAGAAAGAGAAAGAAGTGGAAGAGACATAAACAATATTAGATGCATAAAAGACGATGTAGGAAAGGTATTGATGAATGATGATGATATTAAAAAGCGATGGAAGGAATATTTTGAAAAACTGATGAACGAAGAGAATGTTTGGAGTGGGGTGTTGGAAAACATACCTGTTAATATTGGTATGGTGAAAGAGATTAGTGTGGATGAGGTAAAGAAAGCAGTGCAAGGTATGAAGAACGGAAAGGCCGTAGGGCCGGATGGAATACCAGTGGAAGTATGGAAGCTGCTAAAGTCGGATGGATGGGTGTGGCTGACTTTATTCTTCAATAAGTTGTTACAGGAAGAGGTAATCCCAGACGAGTGGTGCGGTAGCGAGCTGGTACCCATTTATAAGAACAAGGGGGATGTGCAGGACTGTAACAACTATAGAGGAATAAAGCTCATGTCACACAGTATGAAAGCTTGGGAAAGAGTGGTAGATGCAAGAATCAGGGAAGAAAGTGAGGTATCTCGGAACCAATTCGGATTTACGCCAGGTCGGGGGACTACGGACGCCATTTTTGCCATTCGCCAGCTGTGCGAAAAATTTAGGCGTGTGCATAAGAACCTGCACATGGTGTTCGTAGACCTCGAAAAGGCGTATGATAGGGTTCCGAGGGATGTTTTGTGGTGGGCTTTGAAAGTAAAAGGAGTGCCTGGGAAATACCTGCAGCTTATTCAGGCCATGTACTGGCGAGCCAGTACATACGTCCGGTCCGCTGCTGGCGATAGTGACAGGTTCGGTGTCTCGGTGGGTTTACACCAGGGGTCGGCTTTAAGCCCGTATCTGTTCCTCCTGGTAATGGATGCTTTGACATCAAACATACAGGAGGAGGCACCCTGGTGTATGCTTTATGCCGATGACATCGTGCTTGTCGGGGAGGATGAATGCGAGGTACAGAGCAGGTTGGAAGAATGGCGGGTTAAATTGGAGGGAGCTGGTCTTAAAATTAGCAGGACTAAAACTGAACATTTGTTTTGCGATTTTGGCGGTCCGACCAGCTTCTCTCCAATCGCCTTAAATGGTGTGCCTCTACCAACCTGCTCCGACTTTAAGTACCTCGGTTCTCTAGTCCAGTCCGACGGTGGCGTTGACCGAGACGTAAAAAGCCGAATAAATGCAGGTTGGATGAAATGGCGACAGGTTACTGGTGTGACTTGTGATCCAAGAATGCCTCTTAGGCTTAAGGGACAGATCTACAAGTCCATCATAAGACCTGTCGTATTGTATGGATCTGAATGTTGGCCCACCAAAGTTGCGGATGAAAAGAGATTGCATGTGGCTGAGATGCGTATGTTAAGATGGATGTGTGGTGTGACAAGAATGGATAAAGTTAAGAATGTGTACATTAGAGGAAGTTTGAAAGTAGCGCCAGTGATGGAGAAATTGAGAAGCAAAAGGTTAGCGTGGTATGGACATGTTATGCGACGAAATGATGGGGACATAAACCAGAAAGTGTTAAGATTGAATGTGGATGGCTACAAAGGAAGAGGAAGACCGAAGAAAGTATGAATGGATTGTGTGAAAGAGGATATGCTTAAGAAAGGAGTGGATTCAGATATGACGGCTGATAGAGATGTATGGAAGAGCAGCACATACTGTGCCGACCCTCCATAAGGGATAAGGGCAAGTGGATGGATGGATTCATTATCCAAAAAATCCAATATGTTATTACAGACTTCAACTCAACATCCAAGTGAGGAAAACTCCGATGTATTCGTCTGTAAATTTCTTGGATGATGGACTTATTCTACCTGTAGCGTGGATTGACATGGTAAGTTCAAGTTACAATTCTCATCCTCATCTTAGCTAAAACGCGTTACCGTGTCATCGTATTTTGAAAAGTAATGCGAGACAAAGACTTACTATGTTTATGACGAAAAAACAAGATGAACAAACGGAAAGGAGAGAATGAGCATGCATGAACAAGAGCAATCAATGTTAATCAATTTTCATTCGAAGAGCAAAAAAAAACATAAAACATCGATCTTCTTATCAAGTCGTTCCCATTGAAATCAATAAAGTTCAATAAAAATGCTTCGAGATCGAATAGCTAATGATCTTATCTGTTTGCAGGGCGTGGATAAATTACCAGAAACTCTTAGATCCCTCGTGTACCATGGCACATACTCGACGGCAGCTGTACAGCTGGGCCTTACAGTGATCTGCATTATTTCCCTAGTAGTATCCGGAATCTGCCTCTTTGTTCTCTTCGTACGTAGAAGACAGAAACCATGTGCAACTGGAAAGCAAATAACAGAATCAGAACTTAAACCTCAATTGTCATGAGAAAGGTCTTTTTTTTAATTAGGTTCATTTTGCATTCGCCGAACATCACTAATCGATCTTTTTTAATTCTTATTTAGTCAATACTATACAACACTAATAGTCTTTTTTCTAATACAAAATAGTATTTTTTAAGTGATTGACAAACATTTAAAGTTGATAGCACTGAAATGAAGCAAAAAAAAATACTTTTGAAAGACTATCAAACATATTGCGCTACCTCGGGGAAGAGATAAAAAATTATAAACGTTATTACACCTCCATAAACCTATAACGAAAATATTAGAATTGAGATTTAAGGATTAATTATTAAAAAATAATTTTCTATCCACATCAAAAACCAGAGCATAAGGTATGCCTGCCTATGATTTAGGGTAGGCCTAGGGGAAGACAGCTACTCATTCCCCCGCCCCCCTTGGCGTCACCCATTAACCAGTGGGATCTACTAACTAGTTCCCTGGGATCCAAAGATCATGACAAACCAGAAATACGATCTAAACCACCTGACACAATAAGTGTCTAAAGCCCGCTACATACGCTCAGTTATATCTCAGATAAATCTAACAAAACTGGCAACTGTTCAGTTTTCAGTTTTGCCCACACACTTTAGATTTATCGAATGATCCGACTATTCAGATGATACCGTCAGTTAAAACCCAGCGTATGTAGGGGGCTTAATATGATTATTATTGATATTATTGAATCTCTCTACATTAACCTATATTTTGAACCAGGTTAATTTAATCTACATAAAAAAACTAAACGCATCTCTTATTTTTATCTAGCAAAGTTAGTCCCAAAAGGAACAATTTATACATTTTTAATTAGCTACGTAATCACTATGCTCTAACATTGCATTCCATTTGTAAATAATTAAATTTAAGTTATTTTAAGATCAAATGTAAGTAGGTAAAAGAAAACAGAAGCAACATGTTGCAGACGGCTAAGATTGAAAGAAAAAAATTCGATTACTTTATTTAGGTTATTTTAAATAATATCGTTATATATACTATTGCAAGATGGAAACATTCATAAACTACTGTATCGAAAAATCCTTTCGCCATTAGAGCAACATTATCACTGAGCAATATAATTTTTATTAACGGGAAAGGTATCAGACATATGTATGTTCTTTGCCATCCAGAAAAAGCTGGGACGTATGTTGGTAGCCATATTATTTAGTTATTAAGACGTTTTTGTATCTTATTATGTTATGTTATACATTAAACTTTAAATTTTCTACATAAGTCTAGATAACCTGAAATTATTCGTTTTACGTATTATTTTTAAGTTAAAATACAAATGAGATTAAAAACTATCATTTACAAAGGTAATATTTACGTTAAATACTAGTTTTTGTCTTCCTATAACTTGTAATATTTAAATACTTTAAAATAAAAAAAATTAACCATAGTGTAATGTAATACCTACTTTTCATATTCAAAACTATTATCTACTTAGATTGGGTTCGTTGTGTTAATCCAAATAAATCAGTGTGATAAAACTACACACCTAATTATTGTATGTTTAGTGTGAAGTAAATAAACGATGTGTGTTGCCAGAAACTTTCTGGATTGTTATCCTTGTTCCGTTAAATAAAACGATTTACAAAGATCTATAGAAAAGAACTATTTATTACTTCTAACTTGTTATAAAAAAATAAACGAGAACTTTGAATAAGGTAACATTGTTTTCTTTGATCCAACTTTCAGTTTAACTGGCCACCTTTATGTCCTACTAACTGTACCCGTGAGGCTTCATCCGCATGAAACTATAAACTATTTATTGTTTCCATTTCGTAAAATTTTCAATTGAAAAAATTCAAGTACTTCAATGAAAACAAAAGCTCTTGATTTTTCAAATCTATTTACTTCCTAAAATTACTAGCGTAAATATATAACCTAAAGCGCATAAGCGTAGGACTTTTGATACTGTGATTGCTCATCATACAAACTGTGTATTTACGCTTCATTAGATTAGTACAGATGTATAGATAGAAGTAGAGATACTAAAATTTCCTTTCCCCGCGCTCATTGGTTTTCTAGGTTGGTTGTGAATACACATAAATGAAACAACAAAAATCCAGTTTTTTAAAAGTATATTAGGCTTAAACGCTTTCTTGTACGGGGGGCTCGTAGCCTTCAGGGCGGTCGGACTTATCGCCCGCCTCGCCGCGCTTGCCACCGCCGCCTTCCCCGTGCAACTCCATCAGCTTGGAGATCTCGAAACGAGGCCTCTTCAGCACTTTCACCTGCAAACAACTCTCATTAGAATTGCACTACATTTGTATGGTGTATTTATTTGGAATAAGACATCAGATATAAAATCAAAAGGGAACATGAAGTTTCATCATGTAAGTTGTCATTGCGAGCTGAGTGTGTCATCATACAAGTAGTACTTAGATAAATGAATTCTGATTACCTTAACACTATGATAAAATCTGTAGATTCTGAGATACTCAAGTATTCTACTCATCTAATTATGTAAATTGAAATCTTTTTACTTTGACAAAGAATTTTATAAAAAGTTTACATATTCCACTTGAAATTCTACAAAATATTCTTAGTGATTTCAATAATTACCTTCCTGATGCAGACATCTCGGAGGGGGTAGATGCTAAGGCAAGCCTTCTCAATATCCTTAGCAATGGAATCTGGGATGAGCTTGTTGACGACCTCGCGCAGCTCCGAGTTGGTCACGTCACGGGTGATGATCTCGCACATCTTCTTTCTGATGGCTCGTACCTAGAAATCCAATCTGTTATATTACAAAGTATACATTAATTAATTTATATAAATATATATTGAATATGGAGCATTTTGTTATATTTTTAATCCAAACCCCACAATATTATAGATCATAGATGTGAAAGTTTAGATTGATGATGTTTTTACTACATATATCCAAAAAATTAAATTAGAAAAAAATGTAGAACAAAGTACGGAAGAACACAGACTATTGTGTTTTTTTTTTAATTTTGTGCTAAATGAGTTACTGGGTTTAGCTTAACTAATATTAGCATAAATTGAACTTCCTACGAGTGCTAAATGGTACTCACTTGTGTGTGTTGGGCATAGCAGGTCTTGCGCTGGCTAAGAGTGTCCTTGTTGGTGAAGCCGATGCAGAACACACGCAGGAGGTATCCATCGGTGGTCTTCACATCAATGTTGGCCTCCACAAGTGTCTGCCATTTCTTGACCATCCATCTGCAAATAACTTTTTATTTAGGCAGATTCAAAGATAAAAAACGCAAGCTTTAAGACATCTTGAAATTGCAAGTACTGTAATAGTACAACTTATTAATATTATAATGCAAATGTTTAGTCGAACATATTGTCTATGGATTTGTGTTTGTTTTCGAAAGTTTTAATGTTAAAGTGATTATACAAACATGTTTGTTTTCATAAGTCTGTGATCATAACCATATTGTCTCGTTTCCATTAAATTTGATGAATAAGAAAAATGAGCATATAATGTTAAATTTTCATGTTCAATTGTAGCAATAACATGAACACCCTTATTAATGTAACAAAGGTTTTTATCATGTTAAAGCATTTATTTATGCAGTTTGAAACGATATGAAGACGATAGTAGTACATTCATATAGCTGGACTGCAAAAGATTTTATTATTATAGAAGGGGCAAACAAGAAAAGAATCACCAAGACTATATGATCCAATGCCGATGGACATCCACAATGCCAGAGGATCCGCTAAACTGTTTGGAAATGTAGTTATTAAATTATATGTATTTACCTGAGCTTGTCAGTGGTGAGGTCCATGCCGTGGAAGTTGCAGAGCACATTACGACCTTGTACATCCTCAGCGATAAGACGGAATTTGCGGAAAGACCTGAAACAAATTTTACTCATCAATATCTTCATAAAATGAGAAACAATGTTGTAAATACTTCACAAATATATTAAATTGAACAATTTCATTATTACAAATCTTCTTAACACAACAAATAAATGCCAATACTTGCTTTTAATAGAAAATTGTAGCAACCACATGAAATGCCTAACAATAAAGTGCAAAGGCCCGTTTTCATGTTGGTGCAATTTATTTATGCAGTTTGAAACGATACAAAAGTCATGTGGTTACTTTTATATAGCTGGACTGCAACTTTTATAGGTTATAATTTATGTTTCAGTTAATCATTATTGAATTTATTATTACTTTGTAGTAACAAAGAGAATCTGTTGGGCTACTATTCTATAATGTAAAATAAATGGTTGGTTCAATAGTGTAAAACAAATAGAATATAGAAAAATATGAACCTTTCAGCATCAGTATCAGCCTGTAGGTCAGCTAATGAGACCTCAAACACACGGCCCTTCAAACCTTCAGAAGCAATTTTTGTTCCCTGAAAGAATACAGCTATTTAACAATACATTCATCTAACAGATAGGTTATGATAATTAGGAAATCAATTCAGTAATAAAATCAAAAGGGAACAAATGTTTTCATCAGTTCTGTGTCATTGCGAGCTAGGTGGATCATCATTTATATTCAAAGTTTAACCACAAGACGTTTAACCACGTGTTGATCAAGTTTTAACCACAAATTCTGTATTACAAAATGTAAGCTACAGAACGCATGTAATCAAAGTACCTTTATTTAGTGTTACTTTACTAACCTGAGTACGGTTGACAAGGGTGGTTCCCACTTGTCTTTTGGTGAACATAGACGGTGCCTTAACATCATACCAGTCTTTGCGGGTGAATGGATCAACGCTGAAAAAGGTTAAGTTTTTATAACCTCGCAACAACTCGAGTTGTAAGTTTGATTCAACTGCAAATTTTAAAGATATACGTTTGTAGATCGTTAAAATTAGCGAGCATTATTACTTTTATTAACATTCATAGCCAAATACTTTACAAGAAGTGAATTTTAACACGAGACACATCAACATTATCCGCCGATATCACAGTAATCACAAATGACAAATCTGATATAAAGGCTTAGATAGCTAAAACACTAAATACTTTAGTATAACATAAGTTTATTACTAACTTACATCTTCTTTTTAACGCCCTTTTTACCGCCTTTGGATAGGCCTTTATTTTTACCAACCGCCATGTTCAGACTCAAACTTCAGAAAGACAAACTTTTGTTTATGGACGCAAAACCTGTCATATTAGTGGGGAGGGGCAATAACAGATTATACACTTTCAAGCGAAAAGACAAAAATATAGTTAGTTAGTTAGTTAGTTTTAAGTATATATGCAGACTCAGGCTAAGTGGAGGCTTTTAAAGGTAATGATTTTAAATTTAATTAAGTAGTATTTTAGTAATGACACTTCCATTTCATCTCTTTAAAAGACCGATATTAATTTGTACCGTCTATAGTCCAAAAAAATAACAACACAATTGCATTCGAAATAATGGGAAATGCATTCCCTTCACTAGTAATCACGATTCATGATCGAAATATACTCCTTTTTAACTAAATTGTTAAACAGTTACGAATTTATAATCTGTATTTTAACATTGACATTTGAGATTTGTTTCTTGATGGTTGCCCAAAGATGTCACTGTCATTGTCAAACGATGTGTCAGCGTTATCTGTCAGTTGATTAAGACGGGAGGTTGACGTACGTGCTTGTCAATTATTATCTGACCTCATCGTTTATCGTTTTAATACTTTACGTTTGAAACCTAGAAGCAATGAAATACTACTCAAGTTTCGTTTAATCTCTCGTTGGTGTGTGTTCGTATATCTTTACGTGTGGCTAATTAAATTGATTAAACCGTTGCAGCGGCGTTTTTGATTTCGCCGGGTTTAAACTTGTAATTTCTTGGATAAAGTATAATGTTTTAAATATTAACGTAAGTGTTCGTTTTTGTGTTTAAAATGGGAGCCCATGTATCGCGAAACGATTTTGAGTGGGTACATACGGAGGAGCCTCACGCTAGCCGGCGGAAGATTATTTTAGGTATGTTTTTGTCGTGATATTTTTTTCCAGTTTTAATGGATACTGATTAATTTTAATTTATTCAACCAATGCTAACTATAACAACATGCGAGACTCGTTTAAGACCGTACTGACTCAAGTATTTGTACTTTAAAAAATACGTCGACTTAATTTTTGTATTCATATTGTGTGTCTTTCAAAGACTGGGCGTGATCCCGAGTGTAATATGTCTATTCGTAACAATCATCAATGTACAAAAATAGAATCTATTTTTTTTTTACAATAGCGTTATCAGTGTTACACAAAGAGGTCAAATTATATTTAAACTATAAAATTGGTTGTTTACTACTAATGGTTTGAAAAATGCACCATAATCAATGATTTTTTTAATTACTAGCAATTTGTGCTTATTTTTATATCTCACTTTTTTTGATCCAAGAGCATTTTTTTATTTACTTAAAAAAAATATGCATTGGAGAACAACTTAGGTCAATTTTAATCATACACAACCAACTCATTGTCAAGGTCAAGGCTTACATTATTATTAGAAGAAAAACTTGGGTAGTAATTATTTACTACAAGTAATATAAGTTATTACAACTTAATTGTAGATAATCATTGTAACAGTATCTTATTTACTCAGTTGTAGCTCTTTTTTTCATAACTTGTTTATCCATAAATATGCCAAAACTCTTAGAAGTAACCATACAATAAACTGGATTTATAAGGAATAGCCTGTTATTATTTATGTTAAATTGCTGTAATATGTGATTTTGTTTGAATTGTGCATGTACTACTTATCTTATCACTACAATAAAGTCTAGAAGTAGTGTGAAATTCCCAAAAAAATGAATACAAGTTCACTTAAATCTTGTTCAAACATGGTCTGTGATTAAAGGGTGACAATCAGATAAAGGCAAATGAGGATAATATGTTAAAAATTCCGCATATCTCACTCTTCATAATTTTTTTACAGTTTTTTCAAATATATCCTCAGTTAAGAAAGTGTTACATATTATATGGTTAATCAGTATATCATAAAATATTTGTTCTAAAATGCAACTAATAGATGGTACTATTTATTAGCTATCTGTTAGCTAGCAGTCAGACTGATTTTGAGTTATCTGGTTAAAGTATGTTATTTGTATCTAAGATAACTTATTGTTTATTTTGGTCATTTTTTGAGTGTAAATTTCTTTAATCATTTGTCTCTCATATCTTCATGGTCGTAGTAAGATGATAATTCGTTGTTACTCATTATCACTGTTTGCTTTAACCAATGTATGCTAACACCCTAATTGGATAGTATGACAGACTACTTTACATTCTATCTAACTTGACACTATTGGTTCAGTGGATGTATTCTGGCAATCTGATTCCTTACTCTATTGTGATAGTAATTGAATGATTAATAAAAACAAAGAAATGTGTAGTCTGGTGAACTTATAAATTTGTGTTTTTAATTATTATTAAATATTGCTTGTGTTGTTTTTTGTGTTTTTAATTATTGCTACATTATTATGTAGCAGAATAACATAATAATAAAGTCTTTTCATCTTGTTAATATATAATCTTTATCTATACTTCTATACTATTATAATAAAGTGTAAACACACACTTCTTGGTTGCCTAAGATGTCAGCAATTACAGCATATTTTTGAATAATTGTTTTTTTAATAAATAGCCTTACACTTCTGTCACGCTTTAGGGTATATATTTTCACGCCATTGAAATTAGTGGGTAAATATTTTGGATAAAAGCCCTAATGCAGGAAAGAGACCATAAATTGCTGCCAACATCAAGGAAGCAAGGTTGCCAAGGTTTGTCATGTCATCTCATTATGATATTTGCAATTGATAATTTGACAAATGTGAAAAATAAAATGATTTTTTTATAATGTTATATGGATGAATTCGCATGGGAACAGCTAGTATAAAATAAAAACATAACTACTTGCTAAGAAAGAAACTTCATTCATAAAAGTATTATTAGTAAGGTAAATTAGTATTTAAGTTAATCCAGAACAATCAATCATATTGTATATCTTTATAATCTTTACAATATTTATAAAGATAGTACATCAATTCAATTCATACAAAGCATTCTATCTCTAAAATAAATTTATGAACTCTGAGTATCATTGACTCATTCTCAATAATAGATAAGGACAACCTTAATACTTTAGCGTCTAGTTTAGGTAAAGTAATAGATTAGAATACATCATCTCTCCTACCTTATCCTACTCCCATAGGGTCGGCGCGCCGGGTTTTCGTCCTCCACATAACTGTATCATTTGTCATCTCAGTGATCTCCCTTCTTGATCATGTCTCCTTTCACGCAATCCATCCATCTCTTTCTACGTCTAGATATAATAAATAGAATATATTAGAATACATGTATGTGGAAAAACTTGGTTAGCTTTTAACCATAAATTTTCACAGCTGAAATATTTGTTGTCATATAATAGTTCTCTTTCACAAATCAGGGATAGTAAAGCATCAGAACAGGTTAATTAGTATTAAAAAGTTACAGAAAACAAAAATCAAACAAAGAAGGAAATATATCAACAATTACTAAGTCTGATGACAAAGTGAGCACTGTCAACAAATTGATCTCACAATTGTTATGACAAATCCTACACAAACCTACAGTTCTCTTTGGACAAATATGCTAAAATAGTAACTGTTCATTTAATGTATCAATAGACTAAATAAAAACAATAATTTCACAGAATTTATCTGTTTATAGTTTGTCTAAAACAAATCAGAGGTACATTTTTTTACAGAAAAGGCCTGATGTTAATAAGTTGATTTTATGTTTGTGACAAATGTATTTTTTCGGCGAATTAACCTCGATACATTACCAATTTCCTATCTAAATAACGATAAGAATATGTTGGTAATGTTTCTGAAATTGATCCGTTTTTAATAAATATTTACAGAAAGAAATTCAAACACGACAACTCACGATTACAGGATTGTAATCGTCTGTTAATTATGTAGAGACTGTTTGTTGCTCATTCTGAAGAAACTTGTTTCTTTAAGAAAAGGAAAACACATTTTTATAATAATACCATTGGTTCTTTAGTTACACATTTATTATGACTAAAGTAACATTAATAATTCGAACATGAAGAACACTCTATGGCTGCATGCTATGATGTAAACTTTTGATTCTCAGTACTTTTCCATTCAACAAGGATAAATTTGACAACTGTGTCATGAAATAAAAATAAATGTATGTGAAGATTATATTTATTCAGGCACTATTGTGTTTAATGAAATGGCGAGTTCTCGAAATAGACGACAATGAATCATCGTTTATACAATTTTTTTTTACTACTACATATATTGCTTCCATTTGTCAATCTATCAAAAATGCCTGGTTTACATTATGCCAGCACAGTACGACAGGAGCGCTCAAACAGCATAGATACCACTGGTGTAATGAAAACCTTTACTTAATTCCATCAGTACGATTTGATAAATATATCATCAACACTGTATAAATTATAACACGGCTAAACTCACATGATAACATTCGGTGTAGGCACCCACAGTTTCGAACCCTTTGGGGGTCCTTCTTCAATTTATATAGTATAATGTCTCACGAAAGTTTTAATAAGTTAATATCATCAACACCATCTTTTTTACGAGAGTTTTGAATTCAAATGAAACTGAAAAAACCCACATTTAAAGTAATAAAGTACTTATACGTACTATCTTATGTAATAATGTGGAGGTATTTTATCTCCAGCTAAAAAAAATACGTCAGAACTTATCTCTAAATTCGTCTCATAGAGATCTAGTGTGAATAATTCATACGTTTTCGTGTATAAGCGCTAATATGTAAATTGAATCTAATTAATAAGGCAATGTTCACAGTTCACACGAATAGACTCGTCTGACAAGACTTATTCCAGATATCGCGCATGTAATGTATGTAGATATATATTTTCTATTTGAAATTACGATTTACACTCTTGGAATGAGATGAAATTGGTATAAATTTTTCGTCGACTTCTAAATAAATTTACGATAGTTATGTTATTACTTTGTTGTTTACATGCGGTTTCTACAGTAGCAAAAATTAGAAACAAAATTAGTTGATCTAATATTTAAGTCGCACAAAGTCGAAATTCCACTTTGGGAATGGCCCTAGTGGTAGAGAAGGTAAGGAGTAAAAGGTTAGCATAGTATGGGCATGTTATGAGGAGGGATAAATCGCATTTTACAAGGAGAAAGTTATGAGTGTGGAAGGGCACACTGGTAGAGATAGTCTTAGAAAGAGATGTATGGATTGCGTGAAAGGTGATATGATCAATAAAGGGAGTGATGATAGAGTTATTTGGAGGACGAAAATCTGTTGCGCCGACCCTACGGGAGTGGGATAAGGAGGAGGATGATGATGATGATGATGATGATAAATCGAAATTCCACTTATCCATGTTAGGTATCACGTTTCGTTCGCGTAATTTCTTCAAACAGGGGAACAGAATTTTAGACTTAAATAAGGCATACACACTGATTGGAAAAAATGTGAGACAGTTAAAATATCAAAATCTCAGTTTACGAGACGCTGACGATGCATTATATTTATCATGATAAGCAGCCCATCTGACCGGATGTATCACGTGTTATCAACACTGATAAGCCATCATAATGTTTAAGTGGAAAAAGTTTTTATCAAAGACACTGGTAACAATTGCTGATAATATTTAATTATCACTATGATTCATTTGTACAATTTCTTAAAACTGTCGTACTGCTAAGCCAATACAGGTGAGGGATCTATATCTATCTATGTATCTATCTATTTATATACGAGCTATTGCCCGCGACTTCGTCCGCGTGGTATTAAAAAACATACGAACTATATAAATAACAAAAAGCTACGTATCCCTCGGAAACCGGACACCTCGAGGATGAAGCTTATCCCATGTATACTCCAGACTTTGTTTTACATCTGGGCTAAATTTCAATAAGATATGTTGAACCGTTGCAGAATGATCGAGTAAACATTAAAAAACTAAATTAATAAATCCCACGGGAAGCGTAACTTATTCCGGGATAAAAAGTAGCCTATGTGTTCTTCCAGACTATGCTCTAAACCTGTGCCAAATTTCATGGAGATCCGTTCAGCCGTTTAGGCTACAAACGCTAACAAACATCCATCCATCCATCCATCCATCCATCTAAAATTTCGCATTTATAATATTAATAAGATAATAAAACTAAAGTGTCTGTTTGTAATATCAAAAGAAAAATTCCAGATTTCGGGAAGATGATGTATTTGCGTTGCTGATAACGAAAATTGCATTTAAAAATTTTTTTGTCTGTCTGTCTGTCCGCAAGCCACGTTTGTTCCGGGTAATCACTGAAACGGCTGGGCTGATTTTTAACGGACGTTCACTGAAGGGTAGCCGACGTAGACGGGCATATTTTAAGCTACTTTTTTTTCCGCGCTGCAAAATGGCGTAACGGATGGTCCAAATTTGCGCTAGCGAAGTTCGCAGGCGACAGCTCGTAATAAATAAAATTATCTTCTTTCTTTCTGGTACTTGCAGTTCTTACACGCTTTTTTGCAAAACGGAATATTTTGAAAATCAAAATGTTGGTGACAATCATGCATGCATCAATGAATCGCACACCTTGTTTGCTATCTTTATTTAAAATATTGACATAACCTTGGGATCCCACCTTAGAATAGCGATAACAAATCGAAGGCTCGCACTACCTAAACATTTATGTAACATGGTCTGACATTACCGTATGTTGTAGTCTCTGTTTTATCGTTGAAAATGAAAGGGATAACAATATGTGTTATAGTTTTCATATATCTTGGCTGCTCTTAAATTTGCGATTGGTTGCTCAGAACACAATTTGAGGTGTGCGTGTAGAGAGAGCACTGGGCAGCTAGCCGATTTGCTTGAGCCGCCAAGATATTGGAATATATATATATATGAACATAAACAAATGTGGGCAGTGGGCTAGCTCTACTACCCGGGGCGAGATTTGTACAGCGCTCTTTTTTATCGTGTCAAAGGGCGGAGGGATTAGAGTGTTATGTGAGAGTAATTGACATAGTTGAAACTCCGTTCTGTCATGGGCCATGGGTGGCCTTTATTTCCGAGGGGAATGCTTTATGCGTACTCCGCGCCCGGGGGGACGCGATAGTTATGTAGGATCCTCTCCATAATGGGGCATACCCATTAAACCCCTTTGTTCCTCTAACGCATAGTGGCAGAATTGGCGGTATAACTCGTTATGCTCTAACTCAGGGACTGTGAATGGGTTAGAGTCTATCAATGTGTTGTGTGTGAATGTTTCGCCGGTGTAAACTCATGCTATAAATTTTCCGGTCATACACGTGACGAGTGCACAGGTGACATGGATTATTTTGTTTTTGATAATATATTCAGATAACAAAACACGTTTGTGTAAAAGGTTACGTGAGCGATAACAGGAATAAAAGATAAAGAATATTGCGACAATTTGCTATCTCCATAGGATTATTAAATACAAGATTAAGCAAAGGTCATTATGATTTAAATTTTATCAGCACAATGACTTTGAAGGCATATCTAATTTTTTTTTTGTTTCACTATGTCAGAATCAGAAATTCGTTTTTTTTAGCTTCTGCCAATAAATGTCGAAACACTTCGATATATAAAGTGTTTGTGAAATAACTTCAAGTTAACTTTATGTGTACTTGTGGTAGTCAAGGTTTTAGCAGTTTAATGAAGCGATTTCTCGTTGTCGATGTTACAATAGAAATTGCTAAATCGGAACTATACTTTTTGTTGATTTAAACCGCCTAAAATAGTCGATAATAATAATATTTGAAATTATTACATTTGATAGATTAAATACTAGGTTTATTTACATCAAAAGGTATATATACCATTCCTTTGAATTCCTATAAAGCATTAGTATGTATATATGATTACCTGAACTAATCCCTAGTTTATCTGTTAATTGGAGATCCGTGTTCTATTATCTATTAACTTATATATATTTTAATTACAATTAATATAATATTATTAGAAAGTTGTAGCGAAATATACAAATATGACAGAATTAACTGGCATAATTGTTATCATGGCAGTACAATTTTGACTAATTGAATTAAAACAATATTCTTGTACTCAATGAACTTTATCACGTATGTTCGAAAACTTTCCATTCGACCATCTGTTAATGTCCTCTGTACTATCGTTATCAGCTATTAGTAAGATCTTATCGATATAATGTACAATGCAATAAGCTGTTTAATAAAATACAACTAATTGTGAGTAAACGAAAGTACAGATTAGATAAATTTTGCTGAAAGCGTCTACGATTTATCTTGGGTTACAATCTGACTGAACCCAAATGTTCTGCGTTAAATTAACATCAAGAGAACATGGAAAGATTTGACGGTGAAGATACATATGAAGTCGAAATATCGTCTTTATGTGTGTCTCCTCCGTAAGGGTAGGCAACGCATCTGCAATTGCGGATGCCTACAGGCAGCGATCGCATCGCCATTTTGGGGGATCCAGGTGCCCGCTTGATCTTTTGTTAATGATATAAAAAAAAACTGACTGGCCACATTTTAATGACAAAACCATAACCAGACGTTTACACTGTAGTTATATTTAGACTGATTTGCATTACTCGGTTAGCAAAACCTTTGACATCGTGATTGAAATTGTATCTTCAGTTAATATGCAGACTATCAATGTTTAGTCGAATGATAAACTGACGAAGTTTAAGTCTGGTCGGTGACAGATAAGCCCCATACAGAATTGACTTCTATTTGTTGACTACATTCACCGCTACCTAATTAAGAGAATCGCGAGAGCTTGTTATTTAGCGATACAAATGTACATCAATTATCGTCCATTTTACCATACGCTACTAATTGTTAAATGGAAGTCAATGAACCACTTGCATTCATTGATCTTGGCTTGATCTTGAACCGTATTTTTATTGCTTTATAGACATCGAAGAAGTCATAGTCATATCATAAACTATGTAACTGCTCTTGTCATATCTATTTTTTCTTATTGAAAACTACGGAATATATCGCCTTAAAACAGTCGGTCCGAAGTCACCCGTAGATTATAGCTTGTAGCTTTCGCCCGCGACTCCGTCCGCGTGGAATTAAAAAAAAAAAAAAAAAACAATATATATGTCTTCTTCCAGACTATCCTTTACATCTGCCAAATTTCATCGATATCTGTTTAGCAGTTCAGCCCACAAAATCTACAATCCATCCATCCATCTAAACTTTCGCATTTATAATATTGGTAAGATAAGTAAGATATTAGTAAAATTAGTAAGACATATCCTTGTTTCTGGATCCAGTTTTACATTGGTTTGTTTTAATTATCGTAAACATTTCTGGAGTCATGGTGCAATTCCACAAAATTCGACCCACGCTGACTGTCAACAACACGCCGTGGAAACGCGCCTCAGTTCATCATGGAAACAATTCTTTTTATAAAACAAAAGAAATAAAGGACAATATAACATGTTATCATTTCTCACGTGGTACTGAACTTGATAATCTTGTGACGTAGTTAAATAGCTCAAACAATAACGAAATCGCAATAAACTTTCTTTATTCAAGTAACAAAAGGCATAAAGTTATCATTCTTATCCATTGTATTTAGCGTACATGTCTGTTTTACGATATATGTTATGATGCGGCAAAGAGAAGGAAGTCAAAGTATTTTTTTGGTATATTGGTTATAAACAACATTTGTCCCTTTTCCTTCCCATCCTTTTTCTTTTAAGAAATGATTGAATTAATTCAGTGAACTATGATTGCTTACTAAATAAGAATATAGTACGATCAACTTCTTTCGTCTAATTATCGTTATCTATAAAACAAAAGGTACTTTTAGATATATGAATAGTGCTAGAGATAATAGTAACACTAGTGCTTGACCACGATCCGACCTGATTAAGCGGAGATATGGTTGAAAAGTGTTACACACATTTAAGATATATACCCAATAACCCAATGCTTAATAAAACTTAATATAGTTGTAAAGAACATTAATATGTGTAAAATGACCTAGTTTTCGGTTATAATTTTGACCAATGCCTTAACAAGTTCTTATTTCAATTTTCCCTCATTTTAATTTGCGTACTTATTGTTTATTATTTGCAGAAAAATATCCAGAAATAAAGAAGCTGTACGGCTACGACCCGCTGTTCAAATGGGTTGTGTTGTCGATGGTTCTGATGCAGCTACTCGTGCTGCCGCTGGTCAAGTACATGAACTGGCCAGTACTACTCCTGGTTGCATATTGCTTCGGTGGTGTCATCAATCACTCACTCATGTTAGGTAAGTTTGATCACGTTATCGAACATTTTTAACCCGATTTGAGAGACTCGAATATTGACATCCTCTACATTCTCTGTGAAAAATCAGGGATGATATATTTTTCAAACAGTTGAATTGGCTGCGAAACAGTCGACAATCGATAGTTGTGCGACAGTTTAGTCAAAGGTGTGCGCGCGCTCTTTGATGATAATTAAAACAATTTGAAACTACAAAATGATGAATAACAATTAGTATCTTTTACTAGAAATCTTTAGAGTGACTAATTCTTTATATCTATGTTCTATACTTAATATAATAAAGCGTAAACACACACTACTTTGTGACATAGGATGTTAGCAATCAGAACATATTTTTGGATATTTTTTCCTTTAATAAAAAACCCGACACTTACGACACGCTTTAGGCTATATTTTTTGCTCTATTAAACTTGGGGGATAAATAAATTGGAAAAAACCTTTATGTGCGAAAACGACCATAAACTACTAGCTGCCAACATTAAGGAAGCAAGGTTGCCATGTTTTGTCATCATGTCATTTCATTTTGACATTTGCAATTGATATTGGATACATGTAAACAATAATATTAAAATTTTCATAATTTTTGCGGATGAAGTCGCACGGGAACAGATAGTTTTTAATACAATAGAAATATCCGGAGATATTCATAGTGTATCTTATCAATGCCAATACTTGTGTTACTCGAGTGGTGTTCAAGTAAGCGAACTCGATAAACGTTATCTATATTAATAGTAATTAAACGTTGCATAATGTGATATAAAGGTGTGATTACATTGTAATCAATGTAACGAAAAAAAATTAGAATCATGCAAGAAAATTTTTTCTCTGTTTACAGCTATACACGAGATCGCACATAACCTAGCTTTCGGCCACAATCGGCCGCTGCACAACAGATTGTTCGGCTTCTTCGCTAACTTGCCTATTGGCGTACCTGTGTCTATCAGCTTCAAGAAGTATCACTTGGAACACCATAGAGTAAATATCATTATTTTATTGTGTGATATTGCATACGACGGATTTCCTAAAACCTCAAGGAGTGACTTAGGTAAAAATGTGGCATCCAGTGGTGACTAGAGCAATTATTCTTACAGTACCAAGGCGATGAAGTGATAGATGTGGATCTACCCACATTATTGGAGGCAAAGTTGTTCTGCACAACTGGAGGGAAGTTGTTTTGGTTGTTCCTTCAGCCGTTTTTCTACGCGCTGCGGCCGCTTGTGGTGAGGCCGAAGCCGCCAACGCCGCTTGAGATGATCAATTTAGTTATACAGCTGTTCTTTGATGCGGTTGTTGTTGAACTTTTTGGTGAGTTCATTTTATTATAACTGAAGTGTTGGTGGTTTATGCTGAACAACATACATACGATGTGTTGTAAAAAAATTTAGTAGGTCCAAAAACTTGTATCGCTAATAGATTTTAGTAATATTGGTAATTGCATTTGCAGGCTGGAGGGCTCTATGGTACTTGTTATTGGGATCATTCATGGCGATGGGAATACATCCTGTTGCAGGTAAAATATATAAAAGTCAATAAAATATGTTGTATTATTTTTTTTTATATGCATTGTACTTCTCAGGTCACTTTGTGTCGGAGCACTACATGTTCCGCAAAGGCTTCGAGACGTACTCGTACTACGGCCCGCTGAACTGGATCACCTTCAACGTGGGCTATCACAACGAGCACCACGACTTCCCCGCAGTGCCCGGCCGCAGGCTGCCAGAGGTCTGGATACAACATGGCCGCCGTTGCAAAATGGCGGATTACACATTTTTACAGACTCCTCAGTTATAGTAATATTATAAATGCGAAAGTTTAGATGGATGTTTGGTAGAGTTATTAGCTTAGACGGCAGAACGGATCTGGGTGATATTTGGTGAAGATGTAGAGCATAGTCTGAAAGAACACATATTCTACTCACTTTTTGACCGACTTCCCAAAAGAAGGAGGTATTCAATTCGTCGGTATATTTTTTTTTTATTTTTTTTTTATGTGTGTTACGGCATAACT